TCCAAGCTCGCCCTCGTCCCTTCCCCCACCCCCTCGTCTCAGGCCTCCCTGCCTCTCTCCCTCCCTCCCCCAACCGTCTGCAAACTCAGCGCCCACGGAATTAGGAAGGAAAAGGAAGATCGATGACTCCAGATGCCGAAAACACCGTTTCCCCTCCCCCCGCCCCACCTGCCGCCTCCCGCCAGCCCCGCGGAGCTTAGCAGGTTGTCAGCGCTCTGCCTACGCTGTCCCTTACATCTCCATCCCATTCAAGGCCTTATACCTCCTCCCCCAAAATAGCCCGCTGGTGGTCCGCTGTCAGGTCTAATCCCCATCCTATTTTCGGCAGCTTCACTTCGCCCACCTCAGGGAGGAAAATTCCCACCTCAGGCAGGGCTCCAACCCCAAGGGTCGTCCTCATCTGTACCTGATCTGGTCTTGGATGACCTCCAAGGTGCTATAACTCCGTCAATATTTGCCTCAGTTTCCCCACGAGCCGCCGAGGAAGAAGGCCCTGGCCAGGTCTCTGCCAGACATAAACCCACATCACCACCACCCCCTTCCCTACAAAGGTCTCACACAGACGCGTATTAGATTTCACTTTATTTTGTTCCCTTTCCCGTCTGTTTTGGTGTAGGAAAAAAAAAAAAAAAAATCACCGAGAGGAAGCAGCCGGAAAGGTGGAGCAGGATGACAAGGACCGGAGGGAGGCGGGCGGAGGGCAGGGGCCGGATCGATCGCCTATGCCCAGGAGTTCTGCTTCCGCTACCCTAATTATTGGGGTTTCGGGGAAAGGGGGACAGGCATACGGCAAGCAGAGGGGATGGGAATAGGCCACGGTTTATAGGCCTTTATGGTCTTTACGTGGGTACAGGGTGGAGGACAAGTACCTGGGGGTAAGAAAGTCAGGGTGGGATGAGGGTACCAGGCCAGGCGTTATTAAAGCTGCGGGCAAAGGGAGTATCCAGCCCAGCGCCAGGGCGTGAAGAGGACCCAATGTGAACGCAGGAGACACTGGGACCGCCTCCAAGCCCCGCCTATTCTGGGGCTGCGCTCTTGCTCCTCCACTTTGGGGGCTACCCCCAGCCTCGTGGGCACTCCCAGGGAGGAAAAGGGGACCCGCGCCGACTGATGGTCCCCGGGAGGGCTGTTCCTCTCCGCCCCAGAGTGGAAAGGGTGGACGCGGCCACAGGAGCTGCGGGGTACGGGGAGAGGTCCCACTTAGGGAGTCCGGGATTTCGCGGGAAGCTCACGGCCCGGGCGAGGGCGGGGCGCGCTATCCAAAGTAGGGGTGCTCGCTCTGGAAGTTATAGTCTGGGCACACCTTCTGCACCAGTTTGTAGTCAAAGCTGAGGAAGGAGACGAAAATGCAGATGACTTTGAAGGGCTTGGCACAGAGCCAGGCGGCCTGGCTCTGCGTGTGCTCGGTGAAGCACACCTGCGATGGGTCGTACAGGCACGGGCGGTGCTTGCGAGCGCGGTTCGTCTTCTCATACTCCACGTGGCAGTTGAAAGTGCGTGACTCTTTGGTCCCGGGCACTCCCAGCGCGCCCCCAAGCGGACCCGCCAGCGCGCCCCCGAGGGTGCCCCCTAGCCCCGACCCCGCGGCCGCTAGCCCCAGCGGGGGCCCCAGCCCAGGGAGCACCCCCTCCAGGGCCAGCGTAGACTGCAGAGGGTGGGGGGCGGGCCCCGGCAGCCAGACGCCCCCAAACTCGACACGCTTGGAGGGCGGCACGATGCTGACGCTGAGGTTGCCCAGGCTGGACGAGTTGTGGCGGAAGTACACGCTGAAGGTACCGTTCACATGGTCAACTATCTTACCCGTCACCAGCAGCGAGAACTTGAGAGTGTGCACCCGGAAGTAGAAGTCTCCCCAGCCGAAGATCTTTTTGGCGCGGGCCGCTTTGATAGACGGCTTTCTCTTGGTGCGCTGCACGGGGGCCCCCGCCGCCCCAGCCCGGGCCAGTGCCCGGGTGTGGTTAGCCGGCCAGGCCCAGCTCCAGGCACGGGCGGTGCCCAGGCCGTCGGAGGACCTTGGCGGTGCCGGGAGCCGATGGCCAGGGGCCCCCTCTCTGGCCGTAGCCGGGCGCAGCTCCAGGTACTGCGGCCTCCCGGACTCTGGTATCTGGGCACTGACGGCCTGTGGACGAAGAAAGAGGAAAAGAGAGCCGCTGGGTTTGTCTGGGGCCACCCGCCAGGGCCATGCCAGTCCCTCTCCACAGCCGCTAGGAAACCAAATGGAATCGGGCCGCCCGGAGCAGTTGCTCAGGGAGTGCGCATTTGAGTGGACCTGCAGCCCTTTCAAGCTGTGTGGTCTCACCTCAATTTCTACATCTGTGAAATGACTCTGAGAATCCTTGTGTTCTCAGAACTCTGATGAGGGCTGAGAAAGCCAAAAAGGCCAAAGCCAATATGGGTTTGAATAGGGAGTGGAGCTGTGGACTCGGGCTTGGTTGGGAGTAATGGGCCAGGGAGAAGCTGGACTCCGGCAAAGGGAGGCCATGACCACTGTCAATGTCCAGCATCAAGAAAGAGTGAGTCTTCCCGACACTTTTGCCAAGACCAGGGTCCTCACCCGGGCCTCAGCCTCTACTCCCTTGTGTGGAGAAGCAAGGGAAACCAATGGAGCTGCAGAGAGCAGTGGAGAGTCTGGGCGCTGTGGGTTGAGGCTTGGGAGCTACGTGGGCACCCCTCTCTGTCTCCAGCACTCCTGCTGTGGAGGAGGCCGCCTGGTGGTCTCCCTGGGCTGGGAGCGTGCTGGAAGACCACCCTCTGCCTGCCCCTACCCGTCTCAGTGTGTCTCAGGTGGCCGCGGATCTGGGAGACAGCATGGGGGAGTACGAGATGGATCCAGAGGCGAGAGCTGCCCAGGCAGGCCCAGGCCATCAATTATCTGGGGCGGAGCGGGGGTGTGTGTGGGTGTGTGGGGTGGTGGCCGGGAGTGAAGGAGAGGCGAGAGAGCAAGAGGAAGAAATATGGAGATGCTGCTCCAGTGAGGAGAGGGAGAGGAGTTGTGCATGTCAGAGTGTGTCAGTCAGACTGTGCTAGCTGTGGCCATTCAGTGTGGCCCTTACTGCGTGTGGGTTAGGCTTGGGGGGCAGGGAGTACTGAGTGTGTCAGTCTGGGGTGGTTGTATTTCTGTTAGCCTGAGAGGGTTGTACATATGTGCCTGCCTGCCTGGAGTGATGACTCTGTGTGTGTGTGTGTGTGTGTGTGTGTCTATGTGTGTGCGTGCGTGTGCTCGTCTCAACCTATGCTGATGGGTGTGTATGTCTCTGCCTGTGCATGGTGGTTGTGTGTGTCTATGTGTATCTGTATGCCCCTGTGTATCAGTCTGAGGAGGCTGTTATGTGTGTCTGCCTGCTTGTGGTGGCCGAATGTCTGTTGTATTAGTCTGTGATGGCTATGTATAGGTGTCCGGGTTGCATATGTGCTTGCGTTGGCTGTGTCTGTCTGTCTGTCTGTGTGTGTTGATCTGAGTGAGGCTGTGTTTCAGTTTGTGGTAGTTGCATCTGTGTGGCTGGTGTAGTTGTATGCCTGGATTGGCTGTATATCTAAGGGTGGCTGTGTGTGATTCACTGAAAGTGTGTGTCACTTTCCCTGTGTGAGCTCCTATCATCCTCTGTGCAGGTGTCAAGCTCTTTCTCAAGGGTGTGTGTCAGTGTGTCCACAATGATATAACAACTGTGGTCTCATTATGTTCCCCTGGGGGGTGCATATATGAATGGTCTGGGGAGGAGGCGTCCCACACTGGCCTGCAGGATGAGCTCTGGGTAGGTAAAGAGGCCAGGCAGCATGGGTGTTCCCCTCTGTTTGCATACACCATGTGTCCATAAGGGACAGGAATGGCAGAGTCAAGCTGCTGGGCTAGAATCTCCACTGCCTGGTCCCCATTCCCGCAGTTCTGCGATCCTGGGTTATTAATGCCGCCGCCACCCGCTCATCATACATATTTATCACCCCCCTCATTCCTCCTCCCGTCCATCTCTCCTCCCAGCTCAGGTGAGGGGGGCGGGAGCGTCACGAGTGATTGACTCAAACTGACAAGCTTGAGCTGGCAGCTAACACCCGGAGGGTGGGCCTGAGAGGGGCTGAGGGGAAGGCGTCCAGGGCCACGGGGGAGGGGGAAAGGGCCTTCCAGGAGGAGGGAGCCAGGCCCCAGGAGGTGGGCTTAGAGAGGGCAGGGCCTGAGCCCTGGAGGAGGGAGTGTGTGAAGCTTCCAGGGGAAGTCAAAGAATGGTTGGGGGCGAGTCGTTTGAACTCTGACACCTAATCTCCTCACCCCCCTGGGCCCAACCACTAGCTCTTTCCAGGGCATCCAGCGGTCCCCAAGCCTGCTTTTATGACCCCGAATGCCTCTGAGCTATCCCCTCCCAGCACATCCCAGCAGCACCAGACGTCCTGCACCCAGTTCAGGACCTGTCGACTGCTTCAGTCCAGTGACTCCTCCCAGGCAGGGGCTGGGAGAGGCAAGGCGGTTTGGCTGGGCTGTGAGGGGTGCCAGGTGTCCCCCCACTCTGATCCCAGACAAATTGCTGCCTGCGCTTCTCTGATCCTGGCAAATCCCTGGGCTTTGGGCGCCTGCGCCCCCCACCTGCTGCTGCAGACAGCCAAGATAAAAGGGAAGAGTTGCGGGGCTGGGGCGGTGGGCGGCCGAAGCCACCCTGCACGGAGAGCTCAGTCAGGGAGGGGTGAGAGTCTTCGAGGAAACGAGCCGAGAAATGGGAACATGGAATCAAATCAAATCAAATCCTCCCTCTGGCTTCCTTGCCCGCACGCTCGCTCTCCCTCTCCCTCTCACTGTTTTTCCATCTCTCTCTCTCTCTCCCTCTCTCAGTCTCTTTTTGTCTCTGTCTCTTCCTCACTCTGTCTCTAATTTTCTCCTTCTGTGATTCTGTTTTTCTCTGTTTCTGTCTGTCTGTCTAACTGTGGTACTTTCCCTCTATCCTTCAGATTGTCTCCAACCGTGGGTGGGGTTGGGAGGGAGGGGAAAGCAAGGTGATAAGGGAGTCCGTCTTTGCCTAGAATCCATGGTGCTGTCCCTCCCCCTCTACGAATGAGAGTGGGAGCAGGGTGTTGTCTGAGGAAGGGTCCCCCTCACTTCAGAGCTGGTTTAATTAAGATAATTGGGTGCAGTGACATTTGCGGAGGGGAGAGGCTAGCCTGGTTGTCGGCTTAGGGGGGCAGGAGGGAGTGGGAGGGTGAGGATGGGGGTGCACTTCACCAGACGCCTCCGGGCCCTGGCGGGGCGGGAGCCGAGCCAGGAGTGCTTTGCCCCCAAGGCAGCGAGCCCACGCATCAGAGGGGAGTTGAGGCTGCCTTTTGCTGCTGAACAAACTCCACTGGGGTGTGGGGGGGCTCTTTTGGGATGGGACCGCTGGGAATGCGGGAGGATCAGGCTGTCGGCCCCCCAGCCGCATTGCAGGGCACACCTCCCCCAGGCCTCCAGACCTGTCGGTGGCTTCTCTCCTGCTGTGTGGGTCAGGCGGGGTGGCTCAGGATTCTGACTGGGGGAGGGGATGGCACCCTGTGGTTGGGGAGGTGGAGTGCTCCAGGCCTGGGCTGGGGAAGGAGAGGGAATAGCGTACTGAACCCTCGCACCTAGAAAGAGGTGCGGGCACCGCAGTCAGGACGGGTGAAATAGCCAGGGTCTGGCTGGGAACCAGAGATAGAGACGGGGGTGAGGACAGAGGTGGGGTGGACTGGACAGGCTGGGGTGAAGACTGGGACAGAGATGGAGGGGGACTGAGCAGGCACAGGTATATGGTGCAGAGATAAGGATGGAACAAGGACAGGCATTGGAACGGGGATGAAGAGATCAGAAATGGTGGACAGGCATTGGGCAGAGACTAGGATGCAGATGGGATAGGGGCCAGGAGAATGAAGATGGGGGAACAGAACAAGGTGGGAACTAAAATGGGGATGGAGGAAGACAGGGATGGTGGATGAGGGATGGGCATTGGGGAAGATGAGAGTGGGATAGGGACTGGGAGATGGGGGTGGGAACAGAAACGGGGGATGGGAAATGGTTATTGGGTAGAGACAGGGATACTGAGGGATGTAGAGACCCAGGGGATGGAGCTGGGGATGGGGAATGTGAATGGGGACTAGAATGGGAATTGGGGGACAAGGAAGGAGATAAGAGACAGGGAAACAGGAGCTGAGGACAGGTATGGGAGACAAGTCAGAGGAAAAGGCAGAAGACCGGCAGGATCAGGCTATGGGAGGGGGCCAGGCAGGTGGAGGCGAAGATACCTCCTTCCAGACCCTACTATAGCTATAGCGTGAGGGGGCGGGGATCGCCGGTGGGGCGGGCTCTGCCCTTGGGCAGGGCGCCTCCTCCCCCTCAGCCCCGCCTGCCCGCCTGCTCGTGGCCTGCAGCGCAAGGCTCACCGTTATCTGAATTTTGATTTTATTTTATTTTATTTTATTTCCCTGCTTCCCAGAGCCGGCGCAGTACCCCCGGGAACGGCCACCCCCCGCCCCCCGCCCTGCGCCTCACTTTATTATTGCAATAAATGTGCCTATAAAGGCGCGGGCTCCCGGGCGCGGTGGGGGGGTGGGAGCCGCGGAGCTGGGATGTAATTTCCCGAAGCTGGAGCCGGAGGGGGAGTGGGCGGGGTGGAGGTGGAGGAGGGGTAGAAGAGGGAGAGGGGGAGACTCACCAATTTCCAGCGCTCAAGGCAGCGCTCCCTGCTCCCCATCCCCGCCCCGCAGCTCGTTCCCACCCCGAGCCCCGCGACTCCCCACTGCGCCCAGCCACCCTTGAGCCCTGGGACCCCTCCCCCATGACCGACCCTGCCCTCTCTCTGTTACCCTGTCCCCCGTCCTGGCCCCCGCCCATGTGGAGTTCCAGGGCTCGGTCCAAAGTTCCGCATCTCCTCGACGATGACTTCATCTCTGACCCCTAGGATGCCCCCTCCACTTACCTGGTCTCTCTGAACGTTTATCTCGCCCCTTCCCAAAGACCCTGTCTCTGACCCCAGTGACCCTTCTTTACGTTGTTTCTGTCCTCCAAGTACCTGACCTCTTCCCCAGCCACCCTGTCCTGGACCTCCAGCTCCTCCCCCACCCCGAACCTAAGACCGTTTAAATTCTTTCCGCGGGTGCCCCTCCCCTACGCGCAGGCCCTGGCCCAAGGGAGCTATCACAGCGCCCACCTCGCCTGTGTCCCTGGCCCAGCTGCGGCCCCTGATTACCCCCAAATCCCTGCGGACAGCTCTGGGCCCTGGCCCAGGCTGCATGTGCCTAAGTGGCCCAGCCAGAGATTAGCTGGGGGACTAGAGGGGAATACGGAGGCAGGAGGGGGTGGCTAGATGCAGGGCTGGGGCCAGCCAGTGCTGAGAGACTCAATTCAGCCTAATCCTTCCCTGAGGCATGATAGAGCTGGAAGGTCCCACAGGGCCCCGCCCCTGCCCTCCCCCAGCTAATTAGTAATTAGTGATTAGTGATTAGTGACTATTGATCGCCTGCTGCTTCTCCCAGTAGGCGGCTGCTTTGGCAAGGGGTGGGGAAGACCAGAGAAAGAGAGAGGAGTCAAAGACAGTGTTAGAAAGATCCTGAAGGAGACCTGGGCCAGAGCCCCAGGGGCAGTGGAAGCCAGGAGTCGCAGGCCCCTGAAAGGAGACCGGGAGCCTGGAGCAAGGAGGAAGGAGGGAGAGAGCTCCTGAAGGACGGGCAAGTGAGCGCGGCATGGGAGAAGGCAGGGTTGTTAATGTTGGACAATTAGGGTTTCCCTGTAAACTGTGCCCCACCAGCCTCTTACCCAGTGTCAACCCAGTGCCAGCTCTGGCGCTGAGACAGCCCTGAGCGCACACACACACACACACACAAGCCACACTCAGATACATGAACACATCCTGAGGCTCACACTCAAATGCACTCAAAATGACAAGAAAGCAGATACACGCTCACAAGCCTCGGAGACTCACATACAGACAGCACATGCACCCCAACACACATATATCCACCAGAGACACACCTCGGGGTAAACACATGAGCACACCCCATACTCACAAGTGCACACAAGCGCACACAGATACTCAGACACACACTTTCCTACACACACTCCCGCACGCAGTTATACATATTCACACACCCACGGTCTGTACGTACATGTAAGCACAGCTTCTCACATGCACACAAGCTGGACTAAATGGTAGATACACTCTCCCCCACGGACTCCAACACGGAGGCCCACAGCGGCAGCTCTAGCACACTCAGATACATCCCCATTGCTCACATCCTCACGCTTACTCTCCCTCAAGTCTTCACCAGATGTTTCATTCCCCTTCAGGGGGCAAAGGAAATTAAACCAGATAGGTCCACAGGGGAGTTTATTTGATGGGGAGAGGGGAGAGGAGAGTGGGCAGGAATTAGAAAGGAGGGGCAGGGGAGTACCATCCATCCCCACCACCTCTCCCCCGGGGCCTTCACACCTGCGCCGGTTGTGGGACACAGACCCCCTCCCACAGGCAGCTCTATGGGCAGCAGGTCCAAAAGAAGCTCCTGCCAGTGGCAGCAGTTTTTGTGGAGGGGGCTCCTCTGCCCACCTTCCGGCTCAAGGTCACCAGGCGGGTTTGGGAGAATCAGGGAGCTCCATCGCCAGCGTCACTAGGGCAGCCCCTGCCCTGCTGGAGCTGCTGAGTGCGATCTGGCTGAGCAGGTGGGGGTCCAGGTGTGTGGGGAGAACTACATCCCTTCCAGATTCTGCAGGGTCTGGGAGTTGGGGTGCAGCGAGTAGGGGTTTAGGGAGCCCCCTGTCTGCCCCAAACTGGGTAGGTCACACTCAGGGTAGGAAACAGGAAAGTCAGAGACAGGGGAGCTGATGGAAGAAGACAGGGGTCCTGGGCCTAGGCCCCCATTATGGGACTCACGGCGGGGCACAGATGGCTGCCCTGTGAAGCAGGCGCACTTGCACTCACCCCTTCAGAGCCAACACCACACGCCACACCAGCAGACACGCACCCTGGACCCCAGCACTAGACACCCAAGCCTGGCTGCCCCGGACACAGGCACGCACACAGGTGCACACGCTGACCCCCGCACTCCACACCAGCACACACGAGCGCGCCGTGTACACAAATCGAAGCCTACAAGTCGGGAGGGAGGCAGATCAAGTCGGGGCCCCTTTAGCCTCTGCCTTCGCCCTGGAGCCTCAGGGAAGGAGGCAGCCTAGGGAGATGGGGGTGAGGACAGGACAGGAGGAGAGACTCTTTCCAGACAGCCCTTACCCCCTACCCGCCGGGCGTGAGAGAGGGGTGTGTCTGTGAGGTTGTGCAGGGGAGATGGTGTCTCCGCGGGAAATGTGATGGGAGACTGTAGCCAAGTTCGGCGGTATCTGTGTGAGTCCGTGTGCGCGCGCGTGTGTTCGAGCTGTGTATCCTCGGAACACAGTGCCCACCTGGCATTGTGACAAGGGCAGAGAAGAGAAATGAGAAGGCGGGGGTGGATGGGCGGAAGGACAGACAGCGAGGAAGGCGAGCGAGGTTGGCGCGGAAAGACGGCAAGGCTGACACCCTGCTGGCTTGTCTGTCTGTCTCGCACTCCCGCTCCGTCTGGCGCACTCGCGGGTCGGGCTTCGTCCCCTCCCGCGCCGCGCCTGGAGCGGGATCCGAGTCAGGCCTCCACCCTGGCACCAGCCCCCCGGACCCTCAGCCAACTTGAGCTGGGAGAGCGCCTATCCTGAATCGGGAATCTGTCTGTCCGCGTCCCCCACGCCGCGCAAAGTTCGGAAGCTCCGAGCGGGAGGCGGGGCGGGCGTACGGAGCCCCTCGCACTCTGGGACCTTTGCGTCCCGGACCCCAGCGCTCGCGCTACCGCAGGGCAGCCCTTACCTTCCTCAAGAGCCATGGGCCAAAGAGCAAGAGAAGCCATTCCGGGAGCAGCCGCATCTTCCCGGGAGGCCGGGCGGGGCGGGCGGGGCGGGGGCCCGGCAAA